GGCTGGGCCGAGTCTGGGCTGGGGCTCCTTCCTCCTCCTGCTCCTGCAGCCCCATGTGTGTGCGTGCACACCTGTGTACCCGTGCACCAGCACCTCTCTGGGGCCAGCTGCAGGGCAGCACAGTGGCCTGGCGGAGGTGGAGGTGGCGGAGGGTACCCACCCCAGCCTCAGAGCTGCCCTCAGGACTCCTCTTCCTGCCTTCCCCTCCCACCCCCTTATGTGCTCCCAGCAGCCTTTGGGTGTGGATTCCGGGGTCTCCACCCCCGCAGATGGGAGCAGGCTCCTCACACCTGCCTTCTGAGCTCCCAGTGCAGATCAGACCCTGTGGATGAGGCTCCAGGAGGAGCCAGGCTTGATGGCAGAAACCAGGGACCCTGGGGGGTTCCAGGGCTAGGGTGGCTGCAAGGTGGGGCCCCAAGTCTGTGTGGGGAGGCCCATTTGCTCACCTCAACTGCATCCTCCAGGACTACTCTGCCGTCAGCTCCTTCTCCCCGATCGCTGGACCTGTGTTCCACACACACCTGCACATGGTCACTCCCAAGATGGTGGAAGGGGCTCAGCTGGAAGGGGCTCAGCCAGGCTTCTCAGGGCTCCCGGTCCCCCTCCCCCAGGTTCTGCTGTGCTCACAGGGTGCCCTCCCACTGGGGAGCAAGGCGGACATGCATAGTGGGTGGAGATTCCAGAGACAGCCGGCCATGTTGGGGGCCTGCAGCTCCAGGGAGGGGCTGCTGACCTGGGGCTCCATTGTGACCCTTGGCTGTGACTGAGCTGCTGGCCCTGGAGAGACTGGAAGGCAGGAAGGGCTTGGGGGGTGGGGGCAAGTTGCTGAAATGTCCCCAGCTTGGTCCCTCGGGCCCAGGGAGACGTCTGACCGGAGCTTCAGCCGTGGTAACCTGACCTCACTCCTCCTTGACGTGACCTGGTCTGCCCACTTCAAGGCAGCTGCTCTGAGTCTGGGGTCTTTCCCACTGGGGACCAGCTGACCGGGAACCGAGGAATACAGAGGATGTATTCCCCGAGGATGAACGTGCCCCACAGCAAGGCCCGAGGTCTTTCCGTCTCTCCCTGGCTGCGGGACCTCGGCAGGGCATGTCCCTCCTTCCCCTGCAGCACCAGGACAGCCAGTGAGATCTTTGAGACCAGGCTGTGGCACAGTGCCTGTGGGCGGAAAGCATGGTGCCCCTGGCTGCTGTGGTCCTTTTTCCCTGGTGGTGGCCCCCGGGCAGCCAAACCCAGGCAAAGGTGACTCCTTGTCAGCAAGGCTTTGCTGACAGCTGGGCTGCCCTCACCCTCCTGCAGCGCCGGGTGCCCCGGGTGTCTGGCGCACCATGACTTGGCGGGGTGTTTCCTGCGGCTGCTGGGGCCGGCTGCCGTGCACTGTCCAGTGAAAACGACACACGCTCATTCTCTCGAAGTCCTGGAGGCCAGAAGTCTGAGGTCAGGGTGCAGGTGGGGCCGCGCTCCCCTGCAGGCTCCCAGGGAGGACCTTCCTGGCCTCCTCCAGCTTCTGGTGCCTCTGGCATCCCTTGGGTTGTGGCCGCCTCCTGCTTCTGCCTGTCGTCCCTCGCCCTTCTCTCTGTCTTCTCTTGCACCTCGAGTCTTCTGCTTTCTCCTGTAAGGATTTAGGGCCTGCCTGGGTCATTCAGGACGATCTCCTCGGTGCAGGGCCCTTCACTGAAGCACGTCCTCAGAGATCTTTTTTCCAAATAAGGCCAAATTCACAGGTTCTGGGATGTGGGTGTGTTTTTTGTCGGGGGTGGTTGCCCTTCAGCCTCCTACTGTGGCCATGTGCTCCACCCCAGCACCCCCACCCGAGGCAGGCCCTGGACCTCACGCTGCTGGGGTCCCACAGGTCCGCTAGCCCAGCCTCCTGGCTCCCCACCATCCCGGTCTCTCTCTGGGTGGGGCCCTGGCTCCACAGGTGACCAAGAGAGGTGCTGGAGGCCTGGACGGGCCTCACTGCATTCTCAGGGAGCAGCTGCTCCTGTTTCCCACCACTCCTCACATTGCTGCTGCCCCACAAGGCAGCTGGGGCCTCCAGAAGGCTCGTTTCGTCAAACCATTGCACGTGGCTCCTTTGCGGGTGTTGGGAAAGGGCCGTGGTCTTGGGCCCTGGAGCACATCCCAGGATCAGTGGCTCTGTAGGCTCCAGGGCCCACCAGCTGCTCTGAGGAGGCTCAGACGGGGCTGGGAGTCCTGGTCGGAGCTGTAGCAGCTTCACGTCCCCCTGGACAGAGGAAAATGCAGATTCACCACCCCCACCCCCTGCCGACCAGAGGTTGGAGCTATTTCAGTAGAAAAGGATGTTTTAAACTGGGGTGTCTGGCCAGCCACGGTGGCTCACGCCTGTATTCCCAGCACTTTGGGAGGTTGAGGCAGGTGGATCACCTGAGATCAGGAGTTCGAGACCAGCCTGGGCAACATGGTGAAACCCTGTCTCTACTAAAAATACAAAAATGTATCTGTGTGTGGTGGCAGGCACCTGCAATCCCAGCTACTTGGGAGGCTGAGGCAGGAGAATTGCTTGAACCCGGGAGGTGGCAGAGGTTGCAGTAAGCCAAGATGGTGCCACTGCACTCCAGCCCGAGTGACAGAGTGAGACTCCGTCTCAACATAAATAAATACACAAACAAACCAGGGTGTCAAGGCCCACACTCGAGGGAGTGGTGTCAGGTGAGGTGGGGGTCCAGGTCTGCAGCAGCCTCTGCCTGGCCTGGCTGGGGCAGCTCTGCCCGGGTGGTGTCACTAGGGTGGAGGACGTGGCTCCGGAGCTGGGCAGACGTGGATCCCAAATCTGCAGCTGTGTGGCCTTGGGCAGTGGGACTCAGCGCTGAGCTGGGCCAGCAGTAGTGTGTTGTGGACAGAACTTCGAGGCTGCTTGTAAGCTCTGCCTAGCCACCTCTGAGGGACAGTGGCTGCCCCATTCTGGGCCCCTCCTGCCCTTGCTCCCTGACGCTCCCTGGAACTCATCCATTCTCTGGAGAACCAGCAGCCCTCAGAACTGAGCTGTAGCTGTGGCTGCAGCCATCTTTGATGCATAAGTGGAAGGCCGGCCTCGGACTGGGCTGCCGCCGCCAAGCTCAACCCTGGGAAGTGGGTGAATGAGGCTGTTTCTCTGCACACAGCATCTCCCTGGCTCCCCTGGGGTCTCCTGAGTCACCTCAAGGAGCCCCGGCTCCTCCCAGCTGGGCCCGTCCCCTGAGGCTTGTCCAGGAACAGGCGCCCTGGGCAGAGGTGGCTTCACGCGTCGCTGCCAGCCATTCCCTCCCTCCTTGGGGGCCTCCAGCACAGGCGGCCGGTCCTCTGGGATCCTCTTTAGCTCACCAGGACGTGCCCCGCTTTTCAGAGCCTCTGCTCCCCGAGACTTGCACATGAAGTGAAGATGGGCCAGGCCTTCTGGGATGTTTCCCAGCAGCCTTCAGAACACAGTTGGGTGTTACCAAGTGCCCCCAACTCGGCCTGCCTCCCTATTCAGCCTGCCCCCTACATTGCCTGCCCCCCACTCCCTGCCTGCGCCCCACTCCCCGCCTGCCCCCCGCCCCCCTGCCGGCCCCCCACTCCCCGCCTGCCCCCCGACTCCCTGCCTGCCCCCCACTCTCCGTCTGTCCCCCGACTCCCTGCCTGCCCTCCACTCCCCACCTGCCCCCCAACTCCCCGCCTGCCCCCCACTCTCCATCTGTCCCCCGACTCCCCGCCTGCCCCCCAACTCCCCACCTGCCCCCCACTCCCTGCCTGCCCCCCAACTCCCTGCCTGCTGACTGTTGCATCCCAGGCTCCAGACCCTTGTACCAGGCGCATTTAAGGCCAAGTATGCGGGCCCCAGCCTGGGCTCAAATCCCCACCCGTCCTCCCACCAGTTCATGGACTATGGATCTTGGGGAGATACCTGTGTCTCTGGGCCTCAGTTGCCTCATCTGTGAAAAGGGGGTGACAGTGGTTGTGAGGGTGAGCAGGTGACTTGTAGAGAAGGAGGGACAGCCCGTCAGGGGGACCCCTGCCCATGCTAGGGACGTCAGCTCCCAGGACACGGCCCTGGCCCTGGTGCTGCCTCAGGGGGGCTGTTGCTTGGCCACCTAGCACACGCTGTCTGGAAACAGGACTCAAGGTGCAATTTGGGACAGAGCCCGGGGTCCAGTCCAGCAGCTGGGCCGGGTGCACTCCAGGAGGGAGGCCTGTTGCTGGTGTCCACGTCAGCAAGGTGCCAGGTGCCGCTCCACTCCCCAGGGCCCTCTCCGTCCCAGCCAAGGCAGGCAGTGGTGGGCCTGCCTCGCGTCCTGATTGTGGGGTCTGGGGCCAGAGACGTGTGTGCCTCCCCAGCCCCTCACGATCATACGCAGTTGAGTCTCCGAGGGACGCCACCAGCAGTGACAGGCAGAGATTGTTGTGGAGAATGTGGCTGATGGAGGTGCGCTTCTGGGCTGTACAGATCAGTGCCAGCTCTCTGGGCTGATCAGTGCTGCCTGGCTAACCCCTGTAGCCCCAGTGGGGCCACCACCACATACCCCCACTTCTGGAGGAAGCCCCTCTACTCCAGCCACAGGAACTGGCTCCAAGGGCCACTGTGAGGCCAGAGAGCCGCCACCCACCCACACGTCCTCTCACCGTGGAGGGGGCAGCCGTGTGGGCGTCTGTGCCATGGGTGGGCTGGGGGCTCTCGGGGGCTCTGATCCCTCAGAGGGTCAGCCGCCATTGGCAGCAGGGAGCCCTTCCCCCAGACCGCAGCCCCGGTAACAGGGGCAGGACAGGCCAATGGGACCCCTCCCTGGGGGCTGGGCAGCATCACAGGGGCCTGGGTGAGTTGGCCCCACTGGCCTGGGACCCTAACATGCTCTCGGCCCCAGCCCTGCCCCCACTGCATCTGGGCTGCTGGGGGATGGTGGGTGGTGGTGGGGGACTGTGATTCAGGCTGAGCTGTCACGGACGCCTGTCATCGGCACGCTGGTGCGGAAGTGTCTGTTCACACAGAAAACACGTTCTGAGCCCCGGGATCTTTGTCATCCTTCAGAAATGCCAATCCTGTGAAGTGAGGTCTGCTCCGCTGCAGGCCTGTCGGAGGAGGCTGAGCAGAGGCTTCCGTCTGGGTCCTGAGCCTCGGCAGTGCACGGGAAGGCCCCCCCTCCCTCCGGCCCGAGGCTCCCTTGCTGGGTAGGGGCAGCGGGCAGCCCCCACTGCACTGCTAAGCCTGGACCTGCCGTGGGTGCCGTGTGCAGCCAGGTGTGCGGAAGGACGGTGGAGGCTGAGTGCAGCCGGGCCGCACGACCCAGGACGGTGGAGCTGCAGGGAGCAATCCGGAGGTTCTCCAGGAGCCGCTGAGGCCTGGGTCCCCCTGCCGCCTGCTATGCCCCAGCCCTGCCTGGCGGGTAGCAGCCCCGCGGAAGTATTTCATCTCGGCCCAAAGGCAACAGCTGCCGTCCTGGAGTGAGCCCCATGGAGGGGGGCCTCTGTGGTGGGGACAGGAGCCCTTGATCCTGCCTCCTCCTCTCCCTCCTGCCCTGGCCCTTCCTGCCTCAGCCCCTCTGGCCTTTGGGAGCGGCCACCGTGAGCAGCAGGAGGTGAGGCTGGGACTGGGGTGGGTCCACCTCCCTCCAGCAGCCCCCTCGCAGGCATGAGGGGGGCAAATGCATCATTCACCCGACCCCAAGCCGCCCCAGAGAGCAGCAGATGGGCCCAGGGAGGGGCTTAAATAATCCCCAGACCCCGGGGACTGGGGATGCCGGCCTAGGGCTCCCCAACCAGAGACTGGGCATGAACCTCCCCTCTGGGATGCCTGGCCACCCGGTCAGACTTGGTCCTGGGAGGGCCTGGAGCCTGGCCAGTCACTGTCCTCAGCTGACTGCCCCTGGGCCTGGCCCTGAGTGCGGCAAGTACACAATCAGGGCCGCGCCTTTGCTGCCTGGAGCTCAGCAGAGCCTAGAGGAGGACAACCTGGAGGACAGCCTGGAGGAAGGGATGCCTGCTGGCACCTGGTCCTGGCTTCTCAGGAGGGAAGTCCCGGCTCACCCCACCCCTTCCCATGGATCCATTCCCGGTGGGGGCGTCCCCTCAGTGCTCTGAGAGCTGGGACTCTTCACCACCTCCACCCAGGCCTGGGCTGCCCGTCCCCCACTGTGGCACAAGCCTCCTGCCTGTCCCCTGATCTTCCAGTGGGGCAGCTGGGACAATTTGCCAAAACGCAAGTCCGCCCCCTGACAGCACCAGTGCCCCCATTGTGCTTGGGATGTGGCCTGCGGGCGCCATGCTCCCTGGGGTCCTTCCCCGTGTGGTGCTACTTGGGAGGTGAAGACCCCTGAGGTGTATGTTTCCGGTCCGCCCTGTTATCGCCCATTGCAAAGATGAGGACATTGAGGCTGGGTATGGCAGGCGGTGCAGGGGAGGCCCTTGTACTATCTGGAGGGCTCACTGGGAGCATCTGTGCACACCACAGGCCCTCCCCAGCCTGGAAGAGGGGGCTGCTGGCCCCGGTACGTTGATGGTGATCTGGGCTGAGACACGGGGCTCACAGGACCTCATTCACATGTTCCGGGGCCAGCGTCCTCACGGGGCCCTGTGGCCTTTGCCCTCCATGCTGCCCAGGGCCACCCGCTCTGGCAGGGGCAGGACCCTCCACCACCCCTTCCTTCCACCCCAGTGGGGCAGAGCTCCCAGTGGAGAAAAGTGCACCCCAGTGCCTGCTGTCCGCTGCCTCTTTCTGGGGTCCTTGTTCCTGTGTGTAGCCCCTGGACATCCTCTCCTCACTCCAGCAGATGCCAGTCCTGGGTCTAACCCGGTGCCTGTCCCCGTCTCCCGGTCAGGAGGGCTGCTATGGCTTCCGGGGTCCCCAGGATTTCGGGCAATGGTGGTGGGGGCTGCTGGAGAGGCCTGGCCTGTGTCTCCCGAGTCGGGTAGGGGAAAGAGGGCAGGCCCCAGACAGTGTGGGGGAGCCTCTGAGAGCTGAGGCTTGCTAGTAGTGGGTTCTGGGGGTGCTGCAAGCCAGCCCCGCCCCCAGTCTGTCACCCACCTATAGGTGCCCACTGTAGGCAGAGCCGTGAGGGCCACCTGGCTTCTCCAGCAGTCCGGGCTGGTGCTCGGCCTCTCTGGGGCATGTCCTGGCTTGCCTGGCTGAGCTCCTAGGGCAGGCACTGCCTGTTCCCTTCTTGCCCTGCAGCATTGAAGGTGGCCCGGGCCTGGGCTCTCCAGTTCCCCGCTGGCCAGCCCCCCGCCCACCATGCCTGACTCACCCTGACACGTGGGGATCCCCAGGCAGCCCCGAGACAGGGTCTTAGGGCCGCCTCTGCAGGACCCTTGGAAGCGCAGGCACTTGCTCAGGGAGGGGTCGATGGTGTGGTATGGCAGGAGGTGGCATCACGTGACAGGCTTGATGTGACACGATGTGGCATGGCCCCCTCTGGGAGGATGGTCTGTGGAGGCTCAAGGCCACGGACCTTCTACTCCCCAGGGGCTGAACCAGCAATGCCCTGAGTGGATCGTGTCCTTTTACTGGGAAGGGGTGGCCTGACGGCGGACCCCAGGCCTTCCTGTCTGGGACGCTGCAGGGCCTCTGGACCCCCCTCCCAGGTGAGGCCTCCGAGTGGGGAAGGGCCAGGACATGAGCCCCAGTGGCTTCCCCAGGGCCCCCCAGGGTCTGGAATAAACCGGGAATGGGGCTTCCCTGAGAGCAGCTCTGGCTCGGCCCCTTGGTGTCACGGCCCTTGCAGGGCTGTTGGGACAGGACGTGTTTCCGAAGGTCTGTGCACTACATCCTTGGCCAGGTCTGGGGCTCTGTGGCAGCTTGGGTGGGACAGAGCAGGTGGCTCACAGCTCAGGAGCCCCTTGGAGTTCTCTCACTGTCACCAGCGGAGTGTGTGTCACCCCCAGAAACCTGTTGTCCAGGCTGCGGCCTCCCTGTCTGGAGGCAGCCGGGCCTCGGCACCCCCGTGCGGCCTGAGCACGCACGCCCAGCTACGTCCTGACCCCCACCTGCTCCAGGAGGCTCTGCTCCTCCCTGCAGCCTCCACAGGCTGGACCCCCATGATGCTGAGCCCCCAGTGGGGCCAGGACCTGGCTCTCCCCTAACCCTTGAGACCATGCTCTTTTCTGAGATAGGAACCCAGTTGACCCGTCTGCAGGCTTAGCCCGGGCATGGGACCCTTGGCTGTGGGAGCTGGGACGGGCGGGCACCTGGAACTGGACATTGGCTGTGTGATGGCCAGTCTAGGCTGGGCGCTGCCCAGGGGCTCAGCAGGTCCCTGTTCCCTGGCCTGGCCTGAGCGCCAAGGTGTCAGGGCAGGAGGACCCTCGGCCCTGCCAGGCCCCCTCTGAATCCCTTGGTGCGGGTCCCCACGTTTGACGGTTCACCTGCTGTTCCCAGGGCCTGTGCTAGGTTGTGAGACACCCCCAGGGAGAGCATGTAGGGGCACCGGGTCCCCAGAGAAGGGCCTGCGGGGGCGTAGGGAGGCTGGCAGCCCGCCTTCCTGCAGGTGGAGTTAGACTCAGTGAGTGTGAAGGACGCTCTGTGGCCACCATAGCTGGAGCAGTTGCCTGTGGGGGTGCCAACACTTGTTCCCTGGGGTCCTGGGGGTCAGGTGGGGGCAGGAGCAGTCAGAACCTTCAGAGGAGTGGCCCCAGGGCCTTTGTGCAAATGGAGGTGGGAAGCTCCCAGGGGGCAAAGCGCACCTGCTGCAGGTGTGCGAGGGCCCAGCTCAGGGAGTATGGCCCCCAGGAGCCCCTCAGCCCCTCCACCCCACTGCAGGGCCTCCCTCCACAGCCGTGCCCCCGTCTTCACCCTCCATACCTGTTGAGCCACGCCGTGGGTGGAGGCGAGCGTCCCGCGGGCGGGCTGTGTGCGTGTGCGTGCTGTGTGCTCGTGTGTTTGAGTGTATTTTTAAAGCGACTTTGCAGCTGTGTTTGACTCCATTGCATTCTCTGGTAGGAGCTCGGCAAGAGGCGCGTTGTGGGTTATTTTGGGCTTGGCAATACTGGAATTATTAGATTCCATGTTTGTAAGGAAACGGCGTCGCCTGAGGCAGCATTGGCTGTGGGCGGGGGTGTTGATGCCATGTGGGACGTGGAGCCCTGAGGGAAGGCCTAGCGTGTCCCTTGGGCCTGTCACGGGGTCATCAGGGTCACCAAGTCGCCAGCACCTGGTCACCCGGCGGGTAGTTTCCCCTCGGCCTTTGTCAGATTTAGGCCTCCCTTGGCTTCCGAGTGCAGCCCCCACAGTTCGTCCCCTGGGCATTGGCTCCCACCTGACCTGTGGCCGCTGAGCCCTGCAGGGTATTGTATTGGAGGGGCTGCAGCTCAGCTTGGGAGGCGGGGCGGCGCTGGGGGGTGGGTGGCGCTCTAGCCACGCACTTTGGCACTTGTCAAAAAGACTTAAATTGCCCCTTGCTCTCAGCTGTGCCTTAAAAAGCTGCGGGTGGTGACTCAGTTGTCACCATCACAGTCACCGCTGCCGCTGCTTCTGGGGACACCTGAGGTCACTGGGGTGGTTCATCCTGTGCAACCCCCGCCCAGCAGACCTGTTGACCCCTTGGGGTTGGGGGAATGGGGGAGGTGCTGGAGCTGGTGAGACTCGGCCTCTGTCGGCTTCCTGTCATGGCTGTAACTTGAGGGAGCCTCCCTCCCTGGGGCTCAGTTTCCCCCTCTGAAGCCAGGGAGCTGGGCCTTCTTCTGGCCTTGATTTGTCCGGGGGTCTTGGTGGGAAGAGCCCACCCTTCCTGAGAGCAGGGGCCCACTTGGTAGGACCCTTTTCTGCCCCTTCTAGGTCCAGCGGAGGGGCCCGTGCTGGGTCTGCGGAGAGCAGGTCTCACAACCACGGGGGGCTCCCAGGTGGGAAGGGACCCCAGGTTCACAGCATGACTCCAACACTGTGAGGGGTGATCCGCACCTCCCCTAGGCCTTGGGCAGGTCCTCTCTGTCCAGCCAGGGCCCCCGCCTGTTGTCTCCATTTTCTAAGGGGCAAAAGTCACCTACCTCCAGAACCCCCTGGGGCTCCAGTCTTCAGGCGCCTGGTGTGGCGGTGGTGGCTTTGGGTCCTGCCCTAGTGGTCATCTCACACTGGCCAGCCCTTGTACAGGATGGTCTGGGGTGGGGGGGACCCAGGGCTCTTTCAGGTGGGCTGAGATGTGAACTGACCGGCTGGTAGCTCCGACCATCAGCAAGGACAGGAATGAGACCTGGGCCTGCCTGGCCACGCTGGGCTAGCCTGTCCTCCACTCAGTGGGGACCCCTCCTCCCCTCCCCGCTGGGCTTCAGGGGACTTTCCAGCCATGGCTGGAACCTGTGAGTGGCCAGGAGCTGGGGGCCCCATGCTCCCAGCAGCCTTGTGGCTGTGATCTCAAGGGGCTGAGTGCCCTCTGCCTCAGTTTCCTGCCACTGCAGCTTCTCGCCAGGGTTCCCAAGTCGCCTGCTCCCCAGTGTCTCCTGGCCTCCTTCCCAGGACGCTCCTTGGGTTCTAGATCTGCTGAGATGGGGGCTGTGTGTGGCAGGACAGGGCTGCACCTACCCTGGGGGAGTGGCTCAGCCGCTGGATGGCCTCCCGCCTCTGAGGGGCCCAAGAGCGACCTGCAGGCAG